GAGAGAGAGAGAGAGAGAGAGAGAGAGAGAGAGAGAGAGAGAGAAAATGCAATTGTATAGAGGTCACCAAACACCTCTCTGGAGTCAATTGTGTCTTTCTACCATGGTTCCAGGAATTGAACTCAGATCAGCAGACTTCCCAGTGAGCACTTTGAGTGGCTGAGCCTTTGTGGTGGCCCATTCAGTGCTACTTTTAAGTGGTCTGGGACTCACATGTATCCTCCAGTTTCCTGTGTTCTTCAAAAGCCTTGTTGGTTCTCGTGTATCTTCCCTTCTTCCTTCTCGTCCCTTCTTTCTTTTTCCTCCCTTTTTGCATCTACTTGCCCTTTTCCCCATAGATTATTATGCTTTTTCCCCCTCTTTTAGGAGGAAGTTTTGCAGGAATTAAATATGTTTCCTCAGTTGGATGATGAGGCTACACGGAAGGCCTATTACAAGGAGTTTCGTAAGGTAGGAGGATTCATTTTTTTCTTCTTTCTTTGTTTTCTTTTTAGATAGGTCTTATTCTGTAGCCTAGGCTTACCTAGAACTCACTATGTATTCCAAGCCTTGAACTCCTTGCAGGCCCTTTGTCTCATCATCACAAGTATTGGGAGTATAGACTTAAGCTACATAACAAGTATCCATTTCTTAAAGCCTTTTGGCGGGGACCTCAGTGCATTTTCATGTCTTCATTTCTGATTTTTTCTTACTGAAATGGAGACTACTACCTAGTCCATTCTCAGCCTTCTTCCTTTGTATTTTCTGTCCTGCAGGTAGTAGAGTACTCTGATGTGATTCTGGAAGTCTTGGATGCCAGAGACCCATTGGGCTGCCGCTGTTTCCAGATGGAGGAGACTGTCCTTCGAGCAGAAGGCAACAAGAAGCTGGTCTTGGTCTTGAATAAGATTGGTAGGTTTTGGAAAGACTGGGTAAGGCAGGGAAGGGTTAAGCTAAGGCTAGCTCAGATTAGGCACTGAGACAGCAACTCAGTGGCTTTCAGAATAGCCATTCAGAGGAAATCTTGTTCAGATTTCCAAAGGCAGAAATATTGTCTGGTATCCACACACACACATACAGAATGTAGCACGGATTGGGGGTAGAATCTGAGCCTGTTTGCCTCTCAGCCCTTTTCCTTGCAATGTTGAGCAGGTTCTGTGCCTGGTCATTCTTGGAGCCCTGTCCCCACAAACTGGAACTCAAAGATTGGGACAAGAGAGCACATGGCTTGGGACTCACTGAGGTGTTAGTCTTATCCTACTTTTGCTGTTTTCTTCGTGATAGCTGGTAGCTCATGTCACTCATGAGGACTTCTATTTCTCTAGTAGTAAACAGGACATGACCATCGCAGTCCCACAGCTTTGTTGTGAGAATTAATGAAGAGCTTGGTGTATCACCAGCACTTCACAAATCATAGCCATTCTTGACACTTAACCCAGCGTGGGGTGATTAGGAAAGGGAATGGGAATAAGATATTTGGGCACTTTGCAATGGAAGGGGGATGTCTGGGACAAACTGCTTCTTTACATATTTTCTTCAAGAGAGTAAGCCTTCTCAGGGACGGCCAACTTGTCCTGCAGGTCGAATTGTCCTTTGTAACTCCATCCCGGGGACTAGGCAGGGACAGTTAGGGCAAGAGGGGAGATCTGTTAGTAGGAGGTAGGCCTAGACATAGGTGTGTGGCTTGGAGGAAGCCATGGGAATAATGTTCTTACAAGTCCCACCTGTTTTTCCCAGACCTGGTTCCCAAGGAGATTGTGGAAAAATGGCTGGAGTACCTTCAGAATGAGTTGCCAACCGTGGCTTTCAAAGCCAGCACCCAGCATCAGATCAAATTGGTAAGCCTGGCCTCTTTCATTGTGGTCTGGGGCCAAGGTTGCAGCTGTTATGATTCGGACTGAAGTGATTCCTCTAGTGGGTGACTTGTTAATTTTTATTTTACTTTACTTCTTCCCGTATTACTGCTCTTCAGAAAGCATGCTTTTTTCTGGCTGTGAGGAAACAGTAGTGTATACTGTCTATAGGAGAGCTGGGAAATAGAGTTAACTACTTGTTAACTCTTCAAAAAACTATTCCCTTCCCTTCCTTCTTTAAAACAAGACATAGGAGGCTGGAGAGATGATGGCTCGGGGGTTAAGAGCACTCGTTTCCAGAGGACCCAGGTTCAGTACCCAGCACCTACATGGCAGCTCACAAGCATCTGTAACTCCAGTTCCAGGGGATTTGGCATCCTCTCCTGACCTCTCCAGATAATAGGCATGCATGTGGTGCACAGACATACATACAGGCAAAACACTCATACACATAAAGTAAATAAATCTTTTTTGTTTTGTTTTCTTTTCTTTTCAAGGCAGGGTTTCTCTGTGTAGCCCTGGCTGTTCTGGAACTCTCTCTGTAGACCAGGCTGGTCTCAAACTCAGAGATACTCCTGCCTCTGCCTCCTGAGTGCTGGGATTAAAGGCATGTGCCACCACCACAACTTTAGTAACTAAATAAATTTTAAATAAATCTTTTAAAAGGAACCCAAATACGGCAAAATACTTCCGATTGATATCAATATAGAATACTTACAAATACTGAAGTATTACAGTAATGTTGGTTGTTTTGGGGGAGGTAAAGTGGTTATTGGGGGACAAGGTTTTCAGTTTTGCACTCTGTTTTTTTACAATGCTAAGAATGGAACATAGAGCATCTTGCCTGTGTAGACAGACATTCTACCACCGAGCCCCTATTTTCCAGTTTTTTTTTATTATTATTTAAGCAGTGTTTGTTAATCTATTTGCATGTATCTCCTTGGCATGTAGACAAGTGTCGGTGTAAGCTAAGTACTGGGCTATGGTGTGGCTTGGTCATACATAGGCCTTATGCTTTTGATATTTTCTCAGACACTGACAAATGATCCTTTATAATAGCTATGCCAAGTAATCCTCTTCCCACTTGGGTAGATGGATGTGTGAAGAGGGCCTCTTTCCCTACACTCTTGCCAACATAGTATGTCTAACATAATTTTGTGGCTCCACCCCGCCCCCCCCCCATCAACAATAAAAGTAGGGAGGTTGGGATGGTCTTGTCCGGTGTGAGAGGTCAAGGAAAGATCAGCTTTGGGCCAGGCATGTCTGCACAGGTAGAGAGGCAGGCTTTCCTTTTGGGCGTATGAGACACAAAGGCCCCGGGAAGGGAAGCAGGCTTTTCCTCATAGTCTTGGGAATGAGAGAGCTAGAAATGAAACCTTTCTTGCCTCAAGCTAGGATGTCTTCATGTTTCTGCTATGGGAAGGCAAAAGTCATGTATGTGGAGGCAGGAGAAGGAACAGAGAAAATTGGAGAAATAAAGACAGAACAACTTAATCCCAGCACTTGGGGGGGGGGCAGAAGCAGATGGATCTCTCTGAGTCCGAGGCCAGCCTGATCTACAGAGCGAGTTCCAGGACAGCCAAGGCTACACAGAGAAACCCTGTCTCAAAAAACAAACAAACAAACAAACAAAAAAAGATACACCAACTAGAAGCAAGGAAGAGCTGGAATGTAGCTGCTGATTCGTGATTCCAGAGTGGTTCTGAATATTCCACTGCAGGTTGGCAATTTGAGCATAGAATCTGTCTCCCACCTGATGCCCATTTTGTAATATACCTCATTTTCAGACTCGGTGTAAAGTTCCAGTGGACCAGGCTTCTGAGTCACTGTTGAAAAGCAAAGCCTGTTTTGGAGCTGAAAACCTCATGAGGGTCCTGGGGAACTATTGCCGCCTGGGGGAAGTGCGTACCCACATTCGAGTGGGGGTTGTCGGTAAGGCTGCGCAAATTAGCATGGGGCACACTCCTTCCTTGGACAAGGAAGGAGGGACAGGGTTTGGAATTCTGTGTTGTTTCTTTGGGGAAGAGAAGAGGGGTTCAGGAGTGGCTTTGCAATTTGCAGTTTGGCTAGTGGGCGTGGGAAGGCATATTCAGATTCACCACCGTTAGAACCAAATAAGATCCGAAAACACTACAGTCTGTCAGAGCTATGGGAGGAAAGTGTGGTCCACCCACCTCTTACAGATGAGAACAGTGAGACCCACCAAAGGAAATAAGGTGGAGCAGAGGCTTAAGTGTGGTCTTTCTGAAACCCACAGTACTGTAGAAGGGGGTGAAAGGGGATTGGGGCAATTGAGAGGCAGGCAGAGATCATCAGGGAAGGAAAGAGTCTCAGCTCGAGATACTGAAGAGAACCAGACAGAAAATGTGTAGTTATACACCATACACTTGAAAAGACAGCACGCCAAAAGAACAGGGAGGCCAGATTACAAAGTGGATGGGCAATGAAAAAGACAAATTGAAGTGACAGTCATAAAGAGAGTGAAGGATATATCACCCCAGAGAAATGCCAGAGGGACATTAAAAACAATTATGTGGCCAGACCTGTAATGCTAGCTGCTTTGGAAGATGGAAAGTTTGAGTTCAAGGCCAGCTTTAAGTAACTTAGTGAGACCTTGATTCATAAAAAAGCAAAAGAAGCTGAGAGTGTTCCTCAGTTGTGGAAGGTTTCCCTAGTATGTGTGAGACCCTGGGTTCAGTCCCCCGGTGTTAAAAATAACAGGAAACAAAGTGTGTACAGAGACCTGTAGAAGGCATGGTAAAGAAGAACAGACATGGGGCTGGAGAGATGAACCAGGTTCCAGAGGACCTGGGTTCAATTCCCATCACCCACATGACAACCCACAATTGTCTGTAACTCCAGTTCTAGGGGATCTGACACCTTCACACAGATATATATATATATATATGCAGGCGAAACACCAATGCACATAAAATAAAAATAAATTATTTAAAAAAAAGAACAGACACTGGGGATATGTACTTGTGTAGATACGCATATCAAATAAACATTACAGGAATGACGCCAAGTTTGAAAGAAAGAGATAGTTATGACACAAAAGAATATACAACATAGGCCCCCACACACATACAGATCCTTAAGAACATGTAAATCCCTATGCATGGAGTCATGTACAGGCCTGGAAGGGATACATCTACAGGCACAGACAGACTCAGGCAAAATGTCCAGACCAAATTCTTCCACACTCACACTACTGTCTCTGTTTCCTCAGAGCAAATAAGCCACAGGGATACTACATGTGCCCAGATACACTGTAACCGTCCGATGCAACCTAGAATCATGGAGAAACAAACGGACATGTCTGTAATGAGACAGAAACGTTTGCATAGAGAGAATTAAAGACAGTTAGAACAACAAGGCCATAATGAAACACAGATGGGCACGTTTCTGTAGACGAACTCCAGAGAGAAGGAACATAGTAACCATGTGGTCAGACATGGAATTGGTGGGGTGGAGAGGATCAGAACAGATAGTGTCCAGAATGGGAAAGGGCCTTTTAGATGCCTAGAGCTGTGAGAGCAGTTCAGTGAGAGGTCCAATGAAAGGGAAAAGCAGCCGGGCGGCAGTGGCGCACGCCTTTAATCCCAGCACTCCGGAGGCAGAGCTAGGCAGATCGCTGAGTTCAAGGCCAGTCTGGTCTACAGAGTGAGTTCTAGGACAGGCACAAAGCTACACAGAGAAACCCTGTCTCGAAAAACCAAAAAAAGAAGAAAAAAAAAAAGGGAAAATCAATCATATTTGAAATGAAAATGACCAAGAGACACATAGAGGTATATAGACTTCCTGGTAAGTGCCCAGATCTTCCCAGGCACATATGTGAGAGAGTTGAACGTACTGGTATACTTTAGTGCACATAGAGGACAGTAAGAATGACATCCAGGGAGAGAGAAAGTCACAACGACAGCCCTAGCCTGAGAGTGGTGCACAGGTGTTCGACTACAAAGATTCCCCAGGCCTAGACAGCTGTGTAGAGAGGGGGCATCTGGAGAGTAGTCCCTTCTCCCCGGGGGAATTGCATGTCAGAACAGGTGGTCTGTTTCAACACTAGACTCCACCTTCCGTTGGGTCATGTCTATGAGGCCTTCCTTATATGGAGCACCTCTCCAGGCTGGTTGTGGTGGGAGGTAGACTGCACATCTAGAGAGAGGGCCCTGTGTGCCTAGAATGCCAGAAGAGGAGGAGAGAACTAGAAATACCCTGTAGAGGCTTGGCCAGGGTCTGGGGTGGGGAGACAGGAGGCCAGACTCTACTTTTGGCTTGTCCGTGACCTGGTTACTGCCTCTGCCAGGCCCTTTCTTAAGCAAGCTGGCCTGAATTCCTGTGAGCACTTCCTGCCCTGAGTATTCTGTTCCTACTTCGCAGGCCTTCCCAATGTGGGAAAGAGCAGTCTGATCAACAGCCTGAAGCGCAGCCGTGCGTGTAGTGTGGGAGCTGTTCCTGGTGTCACAAAGTAAGATCTGCCCATTTCCCTGCTTCACAAAACCTTGACATTACCATTCCATCACAGCTCATGTGCCTTCAGCCCCTGCCCATTTCCCAATTGTGGACCATCCTCTGCTTCATACCGCGGGTTTAGGAATCCTAATAGCCCTCATTTACCTAGCCCATCCCAGGTGTTGGCTGCTGGGTCTTTTATAACAACTGCAAATATTGAAGCAACTGAGACCCAGCGAGTCAGAAACTTGCCTGAGCTCCTAAGTCCCCAGTGAAAGAGATTGGCTCTATAGCACCTCAGATCCCCCTGGTCCTATATTTCTCCACTTCATCTGAATTATACCTTCCCTCTCTTCTTTACCTCTCTCCAACCTCTCCAGGCCCAACATTTGTGACTAGCTCTCGGGTACAGCTGGGCCTTGTTTTTCTCTCTCTAGATTCATGCAGGAGGTCTACTTAGACAAGTTCATCAGGCTGTTAGATGCTCCAGGCATTGTCCCAGGACCCAATTCAGAGGTGGGCACCATCCTGCGTAATTGCGTCCATGTGCAGAAGTTGGCAGACCCGGTGACCCCGGTGGAGACCATCCTTCAGCGCTGCAACCTGGAGGAGGTATGGAGCAGGGTCCTCAGTGGATGCCCTATCCCACTACTTCAGAGGCCCTTCACTTGTTCTCATGACTTTTCTCCTTCAATTTTGCTAGATTTCCAACTACTATGGTGTCTCTGGATTCCAGACTACTGAGCACTTTTTGACTGCAGTGGCCCACCGCTTGGGAAAGAAGAAGAAGGGAGGTGTATATAGTCAAGAGCAGGCTGCCAAAGCTGTCCTGGCTGACTGGGTGAGGTGAGGAAGGGGTAGAGGAAGAGGTGGCGTTCACTGATGCCAGTGGGACAGCCTGAATTCCTGGGTCCCAAGGTAGGGGACAGCTGAAGAGCTGGTCATGCCTTTCTTGGTACTCTGTGCCTAGTGGTTATGGAGCAGTTCAACACATTGTTCGGAAAGCCATTGCGTGGATTTCTCATCCTATGTCCTCTTTTGATAGGTTATTTGTTCTCAGCGACATCACCACTGACCTCCCCTTCTCTCCCAATATAGTGGGAAGATCAGCTTCTATACCCCACCACCACCTACTCACACTCTGCCCACCCATCTCAGTGCCGAGATTGTTAAGGAGATGACTGAGGTCTTTGATATCGAAGATACTGAGCAGGCCAATGAAGACACCATGGAATGTAAGTGTGGATGGGCGGGGGGACTAGTTTTGTTCTATTAGACCCCAGACCCCATGTCAGATTACACATGTGATCTCTCCTTCCCTGGGGCTACTTGGGGCTTGGTGTTAAATTTTATTCACTGTCTTGCAAGGTAGAAAATTCTAGTTTGGGCTATGAGGGTAGGGGTGGTGGTAAACATTTGGTAGATTGGCACCCCCTTTAGGTTCTTTGCAAGTGAGACTCCATTTCTTTCTTTCTTTTTTTTTTCTTGGTTTTTCGAGACAGGGTTTCTCTGCGTAGCTTTGTGCCTTTCCTGGATCTCACTCTGTAGACCAGGCTGGCCTCGAACTCACAGAGATCCACCTGGCTCTGCCTCCCGAGTGCTGGGATTAAAGGCGTGTGTTACCATGGGCCGCCTGAGACTCCATTTCTTTCTTTTAGGTTGAAATAGCCCTTTAAGCTGGGTGGTTGTGGCACACGCCTTTAATCCCAGCACTCTGGAGGCAGAGGCAGGCGGATCTTTGTGAGTTCAAGGCTAGTCTGGGCTACAGAGTGAGTTCCAGGAAAGGCGCAAAGCTACACAGAGAAACCGTGTCTCGAAAAACCAAAAAAAAAAAAAAAAGCCCTTTTTATGTGTGGAGGGACATGTTTTTGAGACAGGGTCTCACTATGTAGCCCTTGGCTGACTATAACTCATTATGTAGACCAGGCTGGCCATGAACTCAGTGATCTGACTACCTACCTGTACCTCCTGAGTGCTGGATTAAAGGCTCAAAAATTCCTTCTTAGGTGTGTATGTTTGCATGGGTCTGAAATTCCAGCCAAATCAAATGACCAAATGGTCCTTCTCCCTATTCTCCTCCTTCCTATTGCCTTAGGCTTAAAATAAAAAAAAGCGATGTTCAGGATTAAACCCAGGGCCTTGTGTAGGCCAGACAGGCACGCTACCACTGAGCTACACCTACAGGTACTCTAGGCTTTTTTAGACAGGATTTTATTATGTAGCCTTGATTGACCTGGTGCTCACTGTATAGCCTAGGCTGGCTTTGAACTTAGGTAATTCTGTCCCATCAGGTTCTTGAGTATTAGTATATGCCACCATATCTGGCTACCCTAGGATCTTCTCAGCATTCTTAGATTTTCTTATCACCATTGGCTAGTGAGATAGCTGAGTGGATAAAAGATATGAGCTGCCTGCAATTAAATAAATCTAAGTTTTGTTTCTCATTAGCTGTATGATACTAAACAAGTCTGTTCACTTCACCCTGTCTCAGTGATATCTTTTGTAAAGTAAGAACAGTAGCCTCACTCCATAAGGGTATTGTGTAGATTTACCTAATTTGTAAAAGAGGACCGGGGTATAGGTCAGTGGTACAGCTCATGCATAGCATTCACAAGGCCCTGGTTTGACTCTCAGCACCCCAAAAGGAGGAAAAGATATAGAGGAGTAGAACCTGGCATATAGTAAATCTATGCTCTGTAGATGCTGTCTGGGGTATATGGAGGTAGGACTTGCTACAACTGGTGAGTAGGCTTCTGCTCTTAGATACTATTTGTAGCCTTGGCCTGTGGTTCCTACTTCATTCTCTACTCTGCCCAGGGCTCTCTGGTCATACACTTGGGAACAGCTGAGAAAGCTCTGCTTGGCCCAGAGTCTTGTTTCTGTTTTTCTTGAAGGCCATTCATTTTCTTCTCTGGGTCCTCTAAAGTCCTGGATTACAAAAGAGGACAAGAAGACTTGCCTGATTTCTAGTTTATTCCATGTGTGGCTTCAGGCAAGTCAGCCTTCTTGTTGAATTTAATTTCTGATTCTGTCAAGTGGGCAGTTGAGAGGGATTTGAACTCATGTTCTAATGGTGATGCTCGACCCTGGCTGGATTTGTAAGGACAAGAGGAGTGTCCTCACTACAGGGAGTTGAGATGAGGGTGGAGAAGGGGAGAGGGGTAAAAAGCATTTGGAGGAGTTGGTCCTAGTGTTGGATCTGAAGAGTGAATAGGAATTAGGACATTGGGTGAAGTGGGTGGGATAGAGTTGATAGATGTAAATATGAGGGTAATGTGGCACAAAGCAATGGGCATGTCTGAGGGCAGGGGGCAGGAGGGAGGAGAAGAGAGGCCTGGTCCTAGGAAGGGAATCCTCATGGCTCTCTTCATCACATTTGAGCCAGAGTACATACAGTAGGTGTCCTCTGCTGGGTTTTACCTTAATCCTATGAATAAGAGTTGTGGAATTCCCTTTTCTCACATGAGCAAGCTGAAACCTCAAGGCTAACTCCCAGCAGGTGATTGTCCTATAATATTCGTTCTTTTGTTTTGTTTTTATTTTGAGACAGGGTCTCGACATACAGCCCAGGCTGGCCTTGAACTCATGATCCTCCTGTTTTACCCTCCCAAGTGCTGGGATTACAGGTATGCACCACCTGGATTAGTATTCCTGCTTTTCAATCTTTGTTGTGTATCCTCTCAGCAGAAACAGCCTCACTCACCCCCACTCCCCTCGTGTCCTTTTTGCCGATCAGCAAAGGCCTGATCAGCGGGCTGGCAGCAAAGGGGCAGCCAGGATCCTAACAATGGTGTTTGCGTTTAAGGCTTGGCCGTGGGAGAATCCGATGAGCTTTTGGGTGACATGGACCCACAAGAAATGGAGGTCAAGTGGCTCCATTCTCCGCTGGTGAAAATAGCAAATGCCATTGAAGATAAAACCACCGTATATAAGGTACCTCTCCACATCCTCATGACAGTTGTCTCCTGCTGGGTTCTGGGAAGCAGTCAGTTCCTTCCACATATAGCTCAGGGGGAATTGAGGTCTGAGTTGCTCACACACTTCCTATGGACTTGTGCATGCTTGACCTGGTGTGTTCTTTGCCAGACAATAACATGTCTAAGGAGTTCTTTCAAGCAGCTTTCGCAGCCCTGGTTCCAGTCCATAGAACAGGTGTCACCATCTTGGCCACCCAGTTATTCAGTTAGCAGATGATTCTCCCTTCCCTGACTAGTATCCGGGATCTCATATGCTGGTAGTCACCAAATCCCATAGCTATTCTTTGCCATATTTCTTGAGACATGGTCGAAATTTCTCATCTCTGTGATTCCTGTAATCCTAGAGTATGCTTCTAGTCTTCAACTTACCTGGATATATGCTTCATGATTTCTTTTGTTGCTGTTTGAGACAGGGTCTCATGTAGCCAAGGCTGGCTTTGAACACCCAATCCTCCTGCCTTCCACCTGCCCAGTGCTGAGATTACAGGCATGCACCATCATGCCTGGGTATTCTGTGGTTCCTAATAACCTAGTGTGACCCTGTCACTTTCCTTCCTAAACACTTCTCCATGGCTTGCTGTACAAGATCTTCATGGCATCGTATGACTGACTGTTTTCCCACCATCTTTTTTTTTCAGTCGCCCTGGCTCTGTCCTCCAGAGAGTTCATTTCAGACTCAGAGGAGGAGTGATTAGGGGCGGGTGATAGTAAGGAACAGCCTGGATCTAAGGGCCCTAAACTAGACTACTGGTTAGGTGCTAGGGAACCGTTAAGCTGCATCTTGAAGGCTGAGTTCTCTGGGCACCGGCATAAGAGCTGGGCAGGCCCTTTACCAGTGAGCCACAGCCAGTCCCAAGTGACTAGTTAAAATAGAGGATGCTTTTCCTATTGTTCCGGGCTCATCTCACTTAAAATTGGTTTAGAGATCGTGTCACATGATTACTTACTTCAAGAGCTGTCCTTTATTTTTCATGGTGATATAATATCTAGAAAGATTTATTAACAAAAATGTCTTGTTGCCATGCTAATGAGAATAGTCATTCAGGAAGAAACGGGCTCAGGTTGGCCAGCGAGGAAACTCACCTTTAGTCAATACATAGTAGAAGGTAAGGTCTGAACTTGTGCAGTGCCAGGAGTCACACTCTTCCCATCTTCACATACTTCTAGAAGTTTCCTATTGCCTAAAGAAAAAAAATCTGGGGCTGGAGAGATGGCTCAGAGGTTAAGAGCACCGACTGCCCTTCCAGAGGTCCTGAGTTCAATTTCCAGCACCCACATAGTGACTCACACCCATCTGTAATGAGATCTGGTGTCCTCTCCTGTATACATAATAAATAAACTTTTAAAAAAAATCTATAATGATACTGTTCACTGAGCCATAAGTCCCTGGACATAGTGCATTTCTTAGAAACTGACAGTAGTCCCCCATTTTTGTACTACAAATTCCAGACTCAATCCAGGGTCCTCAGCAGGCCGCCTTGTTACACAACTCCCAAGAAGTACTGTATGGGCGTACTGTGTAGTGAATGCTATCTCCATCACCAGCCTTAGTAGCTTGGCTCAAACCACCCCATCTTACTTTACTATAGGGCAGTGGGTGGTTATACTCACAAGCTATAGAGCCAGGCTATTAGGGTCTTAATTTACCCCGCTGCTTACTTGCTAGCTCTGTGACTTCAGGTGCATCCCCACCCCCACCCCCAGACAGGGTTTCTCTGTGTAGTTTTGGTTCCTGTCTTGGATCTCACTCTGTAGACCAGGCTGGCCTCTAACTCACAGAGATCTGCCTGGCTCTGCCTCCCAAGTGCTGAGATTAAAGGCGTGAGCCACCACTGCCCACCTGGCCTCAGGTGCATTCTTAACAGGAATTAAATTAGTAATACATATAAAAGGAGTTAATATAGTCACATAGTGCTGCTTAACAGCAAGGCTATGTTCTAAGAAGTACAGTGTTTTAGGATTTTTGAGACAGTCTTATGTAGCCTAGCTATCTTCAAAACTCAATGTCACTGAGATTGGCTTTGAACTTCTGTTCTCCCTGCCTCTACCTCCTGAGTGCTGAGACGATGAGTATGTTACCATGCCTACCTTGATAGGATCTTCATTGTGGAAATATCCTAGAGTGTACTTATATAAACTAAGATGTTTGTGGCAGGCCACCGTCACAATGTGGCCCATCGTTGCTTGACCCATGTTTATGTGAATACATATTTCCTTAGGTATGTGCATTTTTGTATGTTAGATTGGTACGTGATACATAGTAAATGCTTTGTTAATATTTCCTTTTACTACTCACATGTACCTGCCACACGGATACCCTTTACAGTAGCCCATAGGTAGACAACATGCTCTGAGTTAGGTTTAGCCTGCTTACTTACTGAAGGTAGAACTAAATCTGACTTACTTCTTTGTTCCCAGGATTGTCCCCCATAGCCGGGTATGAAGTGGGTGTTAAAAATACTAGCTGTATTGGAAAAGAATACTAGCTGAGTAAGGCCTTGGGTTATTTCAACAAAGGATCATAATATGAATTGTTACTAATGGAGTGACTCCTTTTGTTTTTGTTTTTTTGTTGTTTTTTTTTTTTTGTTTTGTTTTTTGACAATCTTACTCGGTAGCCCAAACTAACCTAGAACTAAACCATGTAGTCCAGACTGACCTTACGCTTATGGCAATCTTGCCTCAGCCTCTTGACTGCTAGATTACAGGTGTGAGCTATTACTGCTTCCTTTTCCTTTTCAAATTATTCTTATAAAAAGCCTTGCAAGCTATCCAGTGTTCACTGCTGTTTGACACATGAACAAATTGAGTCTCGTAGGCTAACTAAGCACCAGTTAGGATTGGTGGAGTCATCACTGGCTCCAGATTGCTTCTTACTCAAGCCTATCCTTAGTTTCTCTGCAGGAGTGTTTGGAGATCAAGACCCCATCATTATTCTTTTTCTCCCCAGATTGGAAACCTCACTGGGTATTGTACCAAACCAAACCGTCAACAGATGGGGTGGCCTAAACGCAATGTGGACCACCATTGCCCCCAAAACAATCGCATAGTGGAAGTCAGTTCAGTGGATCGCCGCCCAATGTTGCAGAGGATCCTGGAGACAGACCCACTTCAACAAGGCCAGGCTCTGGCATCTGCCTTGAAGAATAAGAAAAAAATGCAGAAGCGTTCAGGTAGGGGTACCTGGCCATTCCTATGCTCTGAAAATGCATGATTGGAGGCAGAGTTCGGGTCTTCTTGAATAAGCATCTTAGAAAGCCTGGAGGGATGGGGTTAGGAACTTCATGGACTGGCACCATGCTGGGCAGAATGTGTATTTTCATTTGTATTGTATCAGTAGGAAATGCATTTGGAATCCCAGAGGATACAAAGTCAAATCTCTTAAGGCTTCCCACCATAGGCAGCTGGTTAATTTCTTGCCCTTCTCCTTTTTTTCTTGAGACAGAGTTTTCACTGTGTAGCCCTGGCTGTCCTGGAACTCACTCTGTAGACCAGGCTGGCTTTGAACTCATAACGATCTGTCTGCCTCTGCCTCTCAAGTGTTGGAATCAAAGGTGTATGCCACCACTGCCCAGCTATTTTCTTGCCCTTCTTAAGACAGATGTATTCAGAAGTCTTACATTCTGTGTCTTCTTTTCCATACCAATGCTTGTCACTGAGCATACAATTTTTGCTTCATAATTTCTCCATTCTGTGTCTATGGAATATTTCCACATTAAGACACAAAAGAATTCCTTTTTGTATAAATGGTGGTCCTTTGTGCAGCTGACTCATTCAGGTTTTCAGAATATATATAGTTGGTCCTCCATATCTGTGGCTTCTGTCCTACAGAATCAGTCAAGTGAAAATAAATATTTGGAAGCAACTGCATCTCTAGGTGCTAGAAAGATGACTCTTTCCCTCTTAAGAGCACTTGTTCTTACAGAAGACCCAGGTTTGGTTCCCAGCACCCACATAATGACTCACAACTGTCTGTAACTCCAGTTTCAGGGTATCCAATGCCTCTTCTGACCTCTCCAGGAATTAGCATGCAGGTGGTGCACATACATAATCTCAGGCACACACACACACACACACACACACACACACACACACACACACAGACACACACACACAGACACACACACACACGCACACACACACATATATATGCATAGAATAATTTTTTGATTTTTTTTTTCAAGACAGGGTCTCATTATGTAGCTCTGTCCTGGAACTCACTATGTAGACCAAGTTGGCCTTGAACTCAGAGATCTGCCTGCCTCTGCCTCTGCAAGTGCTAGGATTAAAGGCATGCGCCACTATGCCTGGCTAATAAAAATTTAAAGTTAAGATAGGTGCAGGCTATGTTTCTTGTCCCTATTTCTTGAACAACACAGCATAGCAGCCATTTCACAGTATTTGTATTGGATTGGATATAAGAAATCTTAATGTACAGGAGGATGTGTGTAGGTTATGTGAAGAAACTACATTGTTTTTAGTAAAGCTGTGGGTTTGTTATCCTCTGTGGATACTGAGGAGCGAGAAAACAGTTTTTTAGTGAATTAATAAAGGTAAGTATGTTTACTCTTCAGTATCTGTGGTTACAAAATACAAATGTAGCCACGTTGTGGTGGTGGTGGTGCATGTTTTTAATCTCAGCACTCGGGAGGCAGAGGCAAGCAGGTTTCTGTGAGTTCGAGGCCAGCCTGGTCTACAGAGCAAGTTCCAGGACAGCCAGGGCTCTTACACAAAGAAACCCGGGTTCAAAACAACAAAATACAAATGTTGGTAGGGTTGATTGACTCTGTGACATCTCCTCTTTTTAACTAGGCCATATTTTATAGCCATCTTCTGGCTCTACAGAGTCCTAGGAATCCAGGGATGGATTGCCCTTAAATTCCAAGTCTTGTTAGGGAGTAGAGAGGAGACAGAACAGACACTGACAGTGTCGAATCATCACCCTGACGGCACATATAGCAAGCACTTCAAGGGAGCTTAACCTAGCTTGGAGATAGGTGGAGTCAGCAGAGGCTTCCTGGAGAAGTCTCAGGGAATCCTGAGGAACATGTATGTCTGGTGGATGAGAGCTGTGAGTGGTAAGCAGTCAGGCTCAAAGCCAGTACTGCCGGGCGCTCCTTTGCTATGAATGCTCATTTGGGGGTGGGTCGGGTAATGGAGGAGTGTTAAGTTCACACAGTAGGAGGAAGTTACTATTTTGGTACTTAGACACAAAAATACTTAAAATCCTGTGAGTCTGAAACCCTGAGTTGAAGCTATGCTGGGGTGATCACTTCACAGTGAATGGGTCTACCTGTGAGGTTGAATGACAGTTTGAATGGCCCATCAGTTTTGCTGAATGATTAGATGGGCAACTGAGCCTGTGGGAAGGTTGGGATAGGCCAAGCTAGTGATAAGCTGGCTGTGGCAGGCCTTCTGTTGGCCAAGCCAGCCACCCAAAGATTGCCTGTTTTTCTCCATCTACAGATAAAATCGCCAATAAGTTGTCGGATTCCATGATGTCGATCCTCGACCTCTCTGGCAACAGCGACGACACTGCTGGAGACTGATGAGCTGATCTTCCCCTCACACTGCAAACACTGTTTCCTACGGGATGGGAGACTACAGGTGTCGTTCCATTCTCCCTGATGTACCTACATAGTAGAAGAACACCTCCCACACCATGTATCTTGTGCCACAGTGCCCTCCATTCTCCTCAGTTAAGAGTCTTAAAGGTCTGGAACTGCCAATCCCCAATACCCGCTATTTAATTCTTGCTGTCTTGGAAAATGACTTTTTGTTTGTTTTTGTGGTGCCAAGGATTGAACCTAATAGGTTGTCACACATGTTAGACAAACAATCTATTGCCAAGCTGTATTATTATTATCATTATCACCATCTCTTATTGTCATTGGAGAAAGAGCCTTGCTTTGGATCCCACTTTGCTTACTCAGCCTCCATTCTGAGTAGTGGATTACGTGCTTCTGTCACCACTCCCAGCTCCCACTGTGTTTTACAAGATAAAATATCAGCAGAGTCTTGGCATGGTAGTTACATACCTGAAATCCTGACACTTGGGAGACTGGAACTTGGAGAATTGCAAGTTACAGGACAGCCCGGACTATCTGGCAAGACCCTTTCTCAATAAAACAAACAACCCAAAACAAGTAAGAGTCCAGGCAGTGGTGGTCCGTGCCTTTAATCCCAGCACTCAGGAGGCAGAGGCAGGCGGATCTCGGAGTTCTGGGCCAGCCTGGTCCAGGACTACAGGGAGAGACTCTGTCTTGAAATACCAATAGTAAATAAATAAATGAAATTGTAATTATTAAAAAATACAAATAAGCAAAGTCCAAGTGTTAGCAGTGTAACCTGTACTCTCAGTTCCTGTGTCCTACCTTGTGGGTTAGGCTGATAAGGGTTGACCTCTTAGGGAAGGTCAATCTTCTAAAGGATGGACTGCTGAGAAACCTGGTGGCAGTGATGGTGGGGTTGTCCCCGGATGGGTGATCCTTTCTGTTTTTATCACCCCACAAGATCTCAGTGCCTAGGCATCCCTAAGGCTCTTGGCTACTCATTTTCCAAATTAATAGGTAGGTCCTCATTTGGGTAGCGTAGGCGTAGAGAAGCACAGTGGTGAGTCTTCTGTGTTTCTGCAAGTGTCTGGGGATAGGGAAAAGGGTTGAAGATTCTAGAAGGGGTATAGATACCCTATCATAGTGAGCTGGAAAGCCATTGGCTGCAGGATGTTCAGGGAATGCAGCCCTTATCCATGTTTTTCAGACAGAATTAGATACTGGCTGAGCATAAACTACCAGTCTCTGAGAATCAGTTAGCTCCTTTAACTTGCAGCTCATCCCTACCGGGAAGGGATAAGGCTCGGAAAGCTGACTGCATGTGCTCAAACCAACATTAAATGGCGGTATGCTAGGTTTAAAAGGAGTGTAATTATAATCCTATGCTAACCTTTTCTGCTGTATTATATTGCCTTCTCAACATAGGAACATTGGTCAGGCATCTACCTGTGGTGTTTCCTGTTGTCAAAACTTCTAAGTGTATTTTCTCTACTCTGCTTTTAAAAACTGGTAACATTTTATGAAAACTGCTTTCCAAGTCTCTTTAAATGGTGTTCAACTTAGTTTACTGATTTCATTGAAGTTTTGGTAGATAATAATATATTAGAAATAAAAGCATCTAGACCCTTGGGAACACAATCTATCCAAAATAAAATAGAACTAAAATTATTGTGACAGGATAAGAATTTTGGACTCTGACCAGGTGGGTGGCTCACACCAGTAATCCCAACACTGAGGATGCTGAGGCGGGAAGATGTCTGTGAATCTGAGTCCAGCCTGGACTGCAAAGTAAGAGACTGTCTCAAAGCAAACCAAAATAACAATATTCTAACTCTGTTGTATCTTAACGGGAGTGTGTGTGTGTGTGTGTGTGTGTGTGTGTGTGTGTGTGTGTGTGTGTGTGTGAATGTGTATGCGCGCGCGTGCGTGAGCAGAGGGTCTTCCCCATGTAACCCAGGGTGGCCTTGAACTCCAGAGCCTTCTGGTCAGCTTCCCAAGTGCTGGGTTTACAGGGGTTTGCCATCATGCCTGGTTGTGTCTTAACTCTTAAAGCAATTTCTTGGATCTTTATTCTCACTTTAAAAAATAATTTTTCTACAATAAATTTCATCCTTTATAATCTTAAGTTCTGTAAGTTTGGATACTTGTTAATAGGGGTGGTCTGCCACCATTATCAAGATACAGAATTTTTAGTCAGGCAGTGGTGGTACATGCCTCTGATCCCAGCACTTGGGAGGCAGAGGCAGGTGGATCTCTGAGTTCGAGGCCAGCCTGATCTACAAAGTGAGTTCCTGGACAGCCAGAACTGTTACATAGAGAAACCATGTCTTGGAAAACAAACAAACAAAAACCAACAATAACAGAAAAAAGTATACAGAATTGTTGTGGTGTTCCCCCCAAACTTACCATGTCTCCTTGTAATATAGCCTGCCCCCATCCACAGATACTGTTCCTTAGTATGGATGTCATAAGTCACACAGGGGCTTACTTTATGCCATTAAGCTTTTAGCTTTGTACTTTGAAACTTTACATTCGAGTAAAATACAGTTGCATCAGCACTGATAACTGGATAAAGAGTAACCGTGAACACAAGAGCAGAAAGATTCTGTTAGCCTCCCCAGCCATCTCATGCTGTGATAGTCAAATCCAGTTCTCTAGACCCAGCCCATGGCAATCACTGACATGTGCTTTCACTTTCTGCTTTGTCTCTTGAAAAGAGTTGTAAGTGGAATTTAACAGTATGTAACTTGTGCGTATAACTTGCTGTGAATTTTAGATTTGAGATCCGTATTACTGGGTGTATCAATAGTTCTGATTTCTATTTCATACTCCATTGTGTGGATGTACTGCTGCTTATTCAATCCCAAGTTGGAAGACATTCTTTACAGTTGAGGAGGAAGTTATGAATAAAGCTGCTATAAGAACTTGTGTGAGACTGTGTTCATTCATTTCTTTGGCATTACTACCTAGACTTGGATTGCTGGAATATATGGTAAGCATATGATTAACATTGTAAGAAACTGCTAAACTTGGTTCGTTTAATGTTCATTAAAAAAACTTTACTATTATTTTGCCTGCACATATGTCTGTGTACTATATGCATGGCTTGGTGTCCACAGAGGCCAGAAAAGGGTATCAGATCCCATGGAACTGAAATTATAGGCAGTTGTTTGTGAGCCACTGTGTGGGTGCTGGGAACTGAACTTGGGTCCTCTGCAAAAGCAGCAAGTACTCTTAACTGCTGAGCCATCTCTCGGCTCTGACGTACATATTAAGTTCACTTTGTAAATTCATTGGTTTTCATTCTCTCTCTCTCTCTCTCTCTCTCTCTCTCTCTCTCTCTCTCTCTCTCTCTCTCTCTCTCTTTGGTTTTTTTGAGACAGGGTTTCTCTGTGTAGTTTTAGAGCCTGTCCTGGATCTTTCCTGTGCTCTAGGACCTTTCCTGAAGGTCCTTGTCTATGCCTGTACTTTGTTTCCTCCATGTTTCTTTCTTTCTTTTTCTTTTTTTTCTTTCTTTCTTTCTTTTTTTTTTTTGGTTTTTCGAGACAGGGTTTCTCTGTGTAGCTTTGCGCCTTTCCTGGAACTCTGTAGCCCAGGCTGGCCTTGAACTCACAGAAATTTGCCTGGCTCTGCCTCCCGAGTGTGCCACCACTGCTCAGCTTAATTAATTTTTGTGCAGGGGAGAGATGATGGATCTTGTTTCGTTCTTCTGCAGGCTACCATCAGCACCATTTTGAAAAGGCTGGCTTTTCCCCAGTGTATATTTTGACAGCTTTGTCAAAGATTAGGTGCGTGGGTTTATTTCTGGATCCTCTTCTATTCTGCTTGTGTGTCTTTGATAAACTGTTTCCAACGTGACACTACCATTCACCTCCCATCAGGATGTGGAAGATTCAGTTCTGTGCTGGCGGTGGTGGGGCACACCTTTAATCCCAGCACCCAGAAGGCAGAGACAGGTGGATCTCTGTGAGTTTGAGGCCAGCCTGGTCTACAGAATGAGTTCCAGGACAGGCTCCAACGCTACAGAGAAACCCTGTCTCAAAAAAACCCCCCCCCCCCCCCCCAAAAAAATAGATTCAGTTCTGTATCCTCTAGCACTTGGCTGCGCCACCCCACCCCACCCCGCAGCTAGGCAAAGGCTTTACCACTTAAACTGACTTCTCTAGTTCCTGCTAGAGAACCCTGTTGGTATCCTGCTAGGTTCAGTAGCATCTCATTGTGGTTTTGATTTGTATTTCCTAGTAACTAATGATTTGGTCCTATTTCCATCTATCTATTCATTTCCCATTCATCTATTCTCTTTGTCAGAGTGTTCAGATCTGTTGATCATTTATTTGCAAGGACGAGCATCAAACCGAGGGTGATCTTGCATGCTACACAAGTACTCTGCCATTAGCCATGCCCCAAATCTCCCTTGCACATCTTGTATTTGTTTTATTGTTTGGAAGGTTTTATGCTGAATACAAATTATCAGATACATGCTTTGTAAAGAAACTTCCAGTTTGTGTCTTATCTTGCCTTTTTTTTTTTAAATAAACAGTGTGTTTTTTAAAATAGAAACAAATATAATTAAGCTCAGAGGAAAACCCTATTGGCAGATTTAGTTTAAAAGTTGTAGTAAAATAGACATAAAATTACTGCCTTAATCATTTTAAGTGTACATTTCAGTGGCATTCTATGTTCACATTATTGTAAAATCACCAGTCAATTTTAGAATTCTTTTCATATCATATACCCAGAACTCTACACCTGTTATTACATAATGCTCCCGTGTTTCTTCCCTGCAACTGCAATTCTATTTTTTTGTGACTCTGAACTATAACCTCACATATGCAGAATCACGCAACATTTATGCTTATGTGACCTGCCTGTTTGACCTCACTTGGTATAATGTCTTCAAGGTTTATCCATGTGGTTTACAAATTTCTTTTTTAATTTTTTGGTTTTTGAGGCAATGTAGCCTTGGGTGGCCTGGAACTCACTAGGCTAGTCTAGCCTCAAACTCATAGTAATCTGCTTACCTTTGCCTCCTAAGAGCTCAGATTAAAGGCATGCATGTGCTACTGTATACAGCCTGTAATTTCTTTTGTAAGGTGCTGTGTATTTTTCAGCATTTGAAGTGTAATTGATAAAAGTTATCTGTTTAAGGTGCTTTTTTAAAATTTTGTTTACTTTTTTTGAGATAGTATCTCATGTAACCCAAGTGGCCTTGAACCTTAGAGATGGTATATCTTTTGGACATAATACCATCCAAGAGGGATTGAGTCATCTCACGAGAGCTCTATTTTTAATTTTGGGGCAACCATCATACTGTTCCTGTAAATAGTTGTACTAATTTATGTTCCCACTAATAGTGTATGAGGTCCTCTTGGGTTGGGCAGTGGTGGCACACGCTTTTAATCCCAACACTTGGGAGGTAGAGGCAGGGGGATCGTTGAGTTGACGCCAGCCTGGTCTACAGAGAAACCCTGTCTGTAAAAACAAAACAAAACAAAAATAAAATAAAACAAAGAGGTCCTCTCGGGCTGGAAAAAGGGTTCAGCCGTTAAGAGGTCCTACTCTTCCAAAGGGTCTGAGTTTCATTCTCAGAACTTCCACTGGGAAGCACATCCACTCCTGCTCCAGGGGATCTGATGCCCTCTTCTGGCCTCAG